CCGAAAGTAGAACCCTCTCTGCAATAGAAGACAGTAGAATGACAACAGAACACAGAGCAATACAGCAATGTGCAGCAGCACACAGTAGAGGGCAGTAGGACCCAGTGGAGAACCTCAAAGCACAGGAGAACATGAAGGAGCCACAGCAGAATACAACAGAGCTCAGTAGAACTACAGTAGAATCACAGTAGAACCAGAGTGGGACACATCAGAGTGCAGTAGAACCCAGTAGAACTACAGTAGAACCATCACGAAGGGAACACTGTAGATTATAGTAGAACCCAGTAGAACACAGTGGAACTTTAGTAGAACTACAATAGAACCAGTAGAACCCAGTACCTGACAGAGGACTTGGCCATCTTGTTGTTGATGGTCAGATATGGTCGGTGGTATTTGGTGAATTCAGGCCACACAACTGGAACTCTGCTTTCACCAGAGTTAGGATTCCTGGAGAACAGTGGGAGACCAGTTTACACCAGTTCAGACCAGTTCAGACCAGTTTACACCAGTCCAGACCAGTTCAGACCAGTTTACACCAGTCCAGACCAGTTGAGCCCAGTCCAGCCTGCACTGGTCAGACTGGTCTGAGGTGAGTCCACCTGTGTGCTGCAGTGCATGCTGGGAGTTTACCCAGTTCTGGCGAAGTTGGTCCAGTAGGCGATCATGTAGCCGGCCAGGTCTCGGTGTCGGGGGAAGTAGACCAGCGGGGTGGAGAACGGCTTCCCGAACAGGTACTGCAGGTCCTCGGCGTGTTCGGCCTCGACCCACCTAGGGAACCCGGGGATCCTGGTCTTCATGTTGAACAGGTAGGAGAAGGTCCGGGCTCCACTGGGGGACACAGAACCACAGGTGAGTTCTGGCTGGAACCAGCACATTCAGTGACTCAAGGATTCTGTATTGTCATACCAGGACACGTGTCTACATGACGTGGTACCAAGTTAGGACTCGGGTCCGGCTCGTAAGCCGACAGAAATAAATAAAGAGAAATAAGATAAAAACAAAATAAAACAAAATAAAATAACATAAAGAAGAAATGAAGGAAACTGTAAGCACTTTACCGCTGTGTGGTCGGTCCGCCGGCCGAGTGGCCTGGACTGGACCGATCTGAGCCAGAATAATGAAAATGGAAGTGTACATTCAAATTTTGAGGTTATTTATTAATTTTTTACTAGACTTTTTGGATCATTTCTATTTTAATATTTTAATACTGATTTCTTAACTCAGCTTTTTTTTTGGACTTCTTTTTGAATTTGAGTTTTTCATTTCAAACTTGACTTTTGGTTGATTACATTTTTTTTTTCTTTACGTTTTATTTGTTAAATCTAATGTTTCGTTTTTTTTAATTAATATCTTTATTTAGAAAATGGAATTTGCCTGCTTCACACAGTTACAGTAAAACATGTGCACTGATGACCTGATGTCTAGAAATATTAAAAATATGAATGGAAACAGAAATGTGCTGTTAAAAATAAGATTATGAAACCGTAATTAAAGATTCTTTAAAGTGTTTTTTGTTCTGTGGGAACAGACCTGGTGTTGTTGGCGTGCAGCTGCAGGGCCAGCTGGGTCGGAACCAGGAACAGGAAGTCCGTCTCGATGTCAGCCACCGTCTTCTTCACCACAGCTGGATCCGGAACCGAACCCCAGTGAGCCGAATAAACGCCAAAGGATGAATCCACGGCAGCACTTCCTTTTTCTTTGGTCAAACCAGCCAGGAAACCCTTCACCTGCTCGCTGAGGACACACACCTGCTGTAAGCACACCTGGGTCAGGTAGCACATCTGGAAACACTGTCAACATCTGGAGACAAAGCAGCACATCTGGACCTGGCTGCAGCTGCTTACTATCCTTATGCTAAGCTAAGCTCATCGCTGGCTAGAGCTTCACACTTCCTGTTACTGATTAAAATATGCAAAATGTAACTTTTTAAATGCAATTTTTGCCTGAAGGGCCAATCAGAGAAGTGGTTGTGAAGCGACATCATCAGGATGAACAGCTGTATAAAGCAGAGTGTCGTCTGCATAGAGACGGAACTCATGTTAATACGAAGCTTTATGAGGGTCCAGAGTTCAGGTTCATGATGCATCAGTGAAGCTAGCAGAGGTTTATTATGTGCTCCAGTCTGACATCACTGCACCTGAACACACCTGTGTCCTCGCTGTGTTTCTGTACTCACACTGTGGTGGCGTTTTTCTGGTTGATGGACGGAACATCGACTCCTGCAAATATGTGTCCATCCATGCTGTTGACTCCGGCCATGTAGTCGAACTGACCAGCGTTGTGAAACAGCCGACTGGGATCATCAGGGATGAAATCACCATCAACCACCGGAGCGAGTTCCAAGAGATCCATGACCACACCTGCAGAGACACCAGGAGGTAACTCACCTGCAACCAGCCGCCGATCCNCTAGTACTAATACACAGTAGTATTAGTACTAATACACAGTAGTTCTAGTACTAATACACAGTAGTACTAGTACTAATACACAGCAGTATTAGTACTAATACACAGTAGTACTAGTACTATTACACAGTAGTACTAGTGCTAATACACAGCAGTACTAGTACTAATACACAGTAGTATTAGCACTAATACACAGTAGTTCTAGTACTATTACACAGTAGTACTAGTACTATTACACAGCAGTACTAGTACTAATACACAGTAGTACTAGTACTAATACACAGCAGTACTAGTACTAATACACAGCAGTACTAGTACTAATACTAATACACAGTAATATTAGTACTAATACACAGTAGTACTAGTACTATTACACCGTAGTACTAGTACTATTACACAGCAGTACTAGTACTAATACACAGTAGTACTAGTACTAATACACAGCAGTACTAGTACTAATACACAGTAGTACTAGTACTAATACTAATACACAGTAGTATTAGCACTAATACACAGTAGTACTAGTACTATTACACAGTAGTACTAGTACCAGGCAGAACTAGTACCAGAAAGGGTTTTTAACAAACCAAAGGCCTCAGATGAGCAGAACCANCAGCTGCTAGCATCAGTATTCACTGCTTTCAAAGTACAAGAACAGACACAAAACACTCCAGAAGAACGTTCAGGAGGTTCCACTGAAGCTGCAGTGAGGCGGTTCTTCCTGTCTGAGCTGCAGCTGGACTAAAGCTGTGGTTCTGTCAACGTTAACTTACTGTTTGTGCCTTTAAACTGGTTTTAGCTTCACAGAATGTGTAGAAACGAGGTTTCTGCTCCTTCGCTAACACTGACGTTCCTTCAGATTGTTCTGCTGCGACTCTGTTTCTTACAGGTTAAAGACAAGATCATCTTTTACATTCACTTAAAGTAAATATGCAAGTTGGAAACAGTTCTGAGCTTCAGTTTGATTTTTCTTAGAATGAAGTAGCAGCGAGGATCTTTTTCGGGGAACTGAATCGTTTCAACAGATTTCAAACCAGCAGCGTTAATTGAACTTGTTGATTGAATTCAGTCTCATGTTCCAGCTGCAGCAGCTGGTTCATGCTGGTCCCAACCTGCAGGACTCTGGGCAGCTGAACCAACACTTCACTGCTGATAACGGACATCGTTCTGGGAAAAGAACCAGCAGGAACCAGAGCGGACTGAAAACATCTGATTACACAGTTTCTGACGGAGTGGAAACTTCAGGAGATGGTGGAGAGTTGAAACGCTGCTCTGTTTGAGCCGAGCTGAAGTTTACGACAAAACACATCTGAGTCCTGGTTTGATGTCGCAGCAGCACGACAAGAAGATGAACACAGCGACAGGTCTGAGTCCTCCAGGTCAGAACACCTGTCAGAGCTTCACCTGGACCCTCTGGTGGTCTCTACTGGAGCCAACATGGCTGTCAGTCACCTGGTGCAGACTTGTGTTACAGAGTTGTGTAACAGAGTTGTGTTACAGAGTTGTGTTACAGAGTTGTGTTACAGAGTTGTGTTACAGAGTTGTGTTACAGAGTTGCGTCGTGTTGTCACACCTGGCAGTCGGTCGTCTCCGGTGCTCAGGAAGCCCAGCGTTCCAACTCTGTAGTTCACCGTGACGACGATGACTCCGCCCCTGTCGGCCATCTCCTTGCCGTCGTACAGCGAGTCTCCGAGGATCGCAACGTCATTGGACGCCCCGAGCAGGAAGGCACCTCCGAACAGGTAGACCATCACCGGCAGGTTGGACGACACTGTGGACGCACACACGGTTAATTCAGGAGGCTGCAGGTCCTCTGATGGGNGTCTCTGAGTTCTCTCTCCTTCTTCATGTTCTGGTTCCACAGAGCTGCAGGACTTTATGTTGAAACAAGAACCTCAGTGAAGGAACACGAGACGGAAGCTGCTGCTTTGAGTTCAGACGTTTTAAAGCAGCACAAACAAACTGGTTGTTTGTGTTCCTCTGACCTTTTCCCAGCATTAGCAGAATGTCGATTTTTCCCGCCATCGTCAGTCCAACCGGGTCGCTCATCTTCAGGCAGGAGATCATCTCGTCCTCGTCGCTTCTCCAGCAGCCGACTTTACGAGCGATCTGCAGGTCACATGTTTATGATTTATTTTTATTATTTTATTGGGCCGATGTTAAACTTCATGTTATCACAACCGGGTTTCCTTCACAGTCCTGTGTCCAGACACACTGGTGTGGGAAACAAGCAGCATCGACGCAGGAGGATGAGACTCCATCGTTAGTGTTCAATGACAAACCTGATGTGATTTAAACCGATTCAGGTTGTAACAGCAGGGAAAGGAGCAGGACCTTGTGTGTGTCTGAGCAGTAAATCTGTCAAAACGCGTTTCATGAAACAATCAAAAGTTTCTGTTGTTTCATCTTAAATCTACAGATTAAAAACCTAAAATGTTCATAAATCCATAAAACAACAGAAGGCGTGTTGCAGCTTTGTCCTGTGATGCAAACATGGACATGTTCTGGTAATTCGTGGCTCAGCTGCAGCGACAATGACTCCGGTTCAAGACCTCCAGAACAAATCTGTGAAGTAAACGTCAGACGTGCTGTTTGGATCTTTAGATGTTTCGGGTTTGCAGAGTGATGTCATTCTCTGTGAACTTTACAAGCATCTTTATTATCTAGTGGTGACGGAAGCAGGTTCCAGCTCAGGTTCACTGTCAGGATGAAACATCCACATTTACCTTCTTGGTGAGAGACATGGGGCTCCTCTGCAGTGCCCACGGGCTGAGGGCGACGCCACACTGGCTGATGGCTCGACGGAACAAACCCTTACTGTACGGAGACAGCATCTGGAGGTGACAGCATGAGGACAGACGGGTGACAGCATGAGGACGGATGGGTGACAGCATGAGGACAGACAGGTGACAACATGAGGACAGACAGGTGACAACATGAGGACAGACAGGTGACAACATGAGGACAGACGGGTGACAGCATGAGGACAGANTCAGACATACAGGTAAAACCACCTGTCTGTCTGTGTGTGCAGGCTGATGATGTCACATGGAGCCCCTCCTCCCACTGCGGTTTGTCGACGCCCCCACCTGAACCTGCTGCTACAGGCTCCGCCCCCCTGAGCAGGTGCACCTCCATCTCAGGTGAGACGACCTCAGCCTCTATGTGTGTGTGTGTGTGTGTGTGTGTGTGTGTTAGGGTTATGTGCGTGTAGTACAACCTTGTGTGTGTCTCCAGGTGTGAGGTCATCAGTCTCCATCCCCGTAGCTCCGCCTTCTGATGGTGTCCCACCTCCTGACAGCCAGGTGAGATCAGGTGATGCTCAGCTACTGCAGGTTGTGTGAAGCAGCAGCTCAAGTTTCTCTCTTTGCCTCGTCACAGGTGAAGCAGCCAATCACAGAGAAGCAGGAGAGAGGCCGCAGTGATGTCATCAACAGCAGCAGAGAAGGTGAGCTGATCAGCTGATCGATTGGTGATGTCACTGCAGGTTGATTTTCTTCTTCTTTGTTTGTGTCCAGATGTTCAACTGGAGTCGCAACCGCCTCCCCCCTCCTCCCCCTTCTCAGAGCCCCGCCCCCTCACCTCCACCCCTGCTCGTGATGAGTCATCGGTCCCCCCTCCTCCCAGCCTGACCCCTCCTCACACCCTGTCATTGGAGGCCCTGTCTGGCTCCGCCCCCTCTGACTGTAGCCCCGCCCCTCCCTACGAGCGTCTGTTTGAGCTGGCTCTGCCGCGCGCCGCCTCGCTGTTCATGGAGAAGACCACGCAGGTAAAGTGACGGTCAGAGTTTGAAGAGCCGATCGCTTTGATCACTGATCAATCATCATAACAACCCTGTCCTGCAGGAGGCGCTGCAGAGGGCAGGGGGGGAGCAGGGGGGCGGAGCCGAGGGGGAGGAAGTGCTTGTCTCCCCCCTGAAGGTTCTGGATCAGCTGATCGTCCACGGACACGATGCCCACCAGCACCTGAGCAGAAGGTGAGCCCGAACCAATCAGAAGACAGCATCGGGATGGCAAGGGGCGGGGCTACTGTTAATAGGCAGGGCTTTAGAGGGCGTGGCTTTAGACAGTGGGCGGTGTTACAATCAGAGAGGCGGGGCTTTAATCAGTTGGAAGTGTTACAGTCAGAGGGGCGGGGCTTTAGACAGTGGGCGGTGTTGTAGTCAGAGAGGTGTTCATATTAATGTGTTCATACTGATGTGTTCATATTAATGTGTTCATATTAATGTGTTCATATTAATGTGTTNACACACACACACACACACACACAACTGGTCAACACAATAATTGTCAATAATTGGGAGGGGAGATAAAAAGAAAATAAAAACACTTCTTTTTGAAAGTTTTAAAAAATAAAATTATTTTGGATCCTTTGATAAAATGATTTTTTAATAAAAAAATTATCTCAAAAAAGGATCACAAATAATAAAAGTATTATTGTTCAATATACAAAGAATTTGAAACTTCAAAAATATATCAAATAAATTATTAAATATCCAAAAGAAAAAACACAAACATGATCAAAAATGTATATACATACATATACATATTTCAAAATATTCAAAAATATATTTAAATCACATCTTTTTTTTTTTACTGTGAACTATTTAAAATTGTTTTAAAGATGTCTAGATGTTTAATATTAACGTTGTAAACCGCTTTTTATTTTGTGTTTTAGAATCCTGTTTTTTTTCTTCCCCTGTGTGAAGCCTGATGAACGCGCTGCAGCAGAAAACAGAACATGTCCTCTGAGATGTGGAGAACACAGCAGAACATGGAAGTCAGTAAAGTTACTGGAACACGAGTCAGTGTTGTTGGTCAGCAAAGTGCAGCTGGTTGTTCTCACAGAGTCCCGCTTTGCTGTCAGAACTCTGGCTTCTGTTGGAGGTTGAGTTGGTTCCAGCTGCCGCTGGAGAACCTCCCTGAGAACACAGATTGAACGTTGGGGAACGGTTCCACCTGTTCCGTCTGTCTCCGTCTTTCTGTCCTGTTTCGTCCAGTCGGTTCGTTTTCAAAAGGTACAACTGCTAAAAACAGGATTACATCTGATTTAAACTGACCTTCGCAGCCGAAGCTGAGTTCATGGAGACGCTCAGAAGAAACAGCAGCAGCAGCATCATCTTCACCTGTAGGTCAGCTCACCTGTCTGTCAGCTCACCTGTCTGTCAGTCTGCTGCTGACCTGCTGCTATTTATACCCTCAAGAAACCTCCAGCAGAGAAAACTAAACCAACGAAGAAGAAATGAAGCATCGCCCTGAGCTTCCTGTTTCCCTGCAGCGTGTTTGTTTTGGGGCTTTCTGCTCGTTTCTCATCACGTTGTGTCGTCGTCTCTCTTGTTCTCTCTGCTGTTTGTTGCTTCATGTCTGTTTCTGGATGTTTCTGTTTTCATGACTGTTTATATGTTTGTGTGGTTTTTGTCCAGTTTTGTGTGAATTGAGTTATTTTGTGTCGGGTTCTTTGGGGACCTTTTAACTCGCTGTGGAGTGAAAACCTCGTTTGTGTCGAGAACGATTCCTGTAAAGGTTCCAGGACCGGTTCTGCTGGATCCTCATGTTCACGTCTGCTTCATCTGCGCTCAGCTCGACGTGTCGATAAGCTTCGGTTTTAATCATCAACGTAGTGAGAAAACACACAGCTGCTGCACACACACACACAC